CATAGGAAACCATCTTTAGTGTTATAACAAAAAGTTTTCCTTGAGCGATTTTACTATATATTAATTAATAACAAACACTAATATAATCGCTAACCCCAGTATTAACAACTTTTTAAGAGGTTTATTATCGCAGAATATTCGGGGTGTTGTTGGGGTAGTTATTAACAACCCTAGCTGCACGTGGTAACTAGTAGTATTGGCACGGATTTTAGGACTTAATTTAGGATTTTAGGATTTCCGAAAACCAACTTTACACTAGGTAATATTTGGATAAGTACGGGTTCGAGACCCTGGACTTGGGTTTGAAACCCCGGATCCGGGTTCAAACCGCAGATCCGGGTTTGAAACCCTTGCAACTCAAAATGTATAAATATGGCGTTCACACAAAGACTCTTTCTGACTGGAACAACAATAATAAAGAACTCTTTCCCACTTTGGCTTGATAATAATAAGTGTCCCCCCTTTGACTTCGATCTTGGAAATACTACCTAATAAGTGACACGTGACGACTGATACGAGCCTCAAGTAACCTAAATACGTAACTCGTAACGAATCTCAAGTAACCGGAATATGTGACACGTGACGACCTACCTTGCATGCGATAACCAGTAGATAAGCAATTTACCAACCCGTAACCACCCATATTCGTATTCCAGATCGACTGCATGACCCGCTCTAGGATAAACTATCAGCCTAATTCGAGTACCGTGCAGTGCCGTTGTTCGACTATAACATATAAACCCCTAACGAGTACGACAAGGAAAAGTACACTAACAATTCTACGTTTATGTCTGCGGCCCTGTGTTAAATTGGTGTCAAGCAACGATAAGCACTCCTAGGTCACAACAGCATTAGCTTAAAATAAACCTAATAAATTATTTGCGAATTTCGAAATAAATTTTCATCATTCCTGAGATACAGTATGCACGTGTTTGTTTGTCGTGCCTTTTTTGTGGTTTGGCATTTTCAGCGTATGTACGTACGTACATACACATGTTCTGGTTGCTTGTATAAGGTGCCGGGTTTTAAATGGCCCTCGTGTAAAGAAAAATATTATACGTATCAGTCAGGGGACTTTGTCTATAATTGGAAGCTTCACAAAAATAATAAGATTATTGAAACATCTTTTCGAAAAAGCGAAAATGCTAGTGTGAAAAATGAAGCTAATATTCAAATGAGGATTTTTAATTGACATTTCTTTAAACATTAAGATTGACCATATCGAGTCTAAGTGTTATTTTTGATTTTAGAAAACTATATAAGAATTAAACTTTTAACTTAAATTATAGTCAACTGTATATAAATTAAACTTGACGTCTTAACCGAACGTTAAATTTTATTATGAAATCCGGATTAGACACTAAGTACACTTTTTTAAACTGAAACTTTTTTTTCATTTTCTTAATAAGGGTTCAGTATAGAGAGTATTGACTGTAATTATTAAATAATCATTAATTTGGTTAATGATTATAATTGCTCTCGAAAGATCTCGAAAGAATTATATAAAACTCGGGTCCGCCGATTTTGGAACTTATAATAAGCGGTATAGTACGCAGCGAAAGTTTATATTATAATAGGAAAGTTTTTATTGCATACATACTTTGCATTTATATAATAAGAAATATAAAATCCTATTTGATTAATATGTAATAGAAATCTTGTGGTTTGTATGTATGTACGTACGTATGTGGTCTACAAAGGGGTTCTTGTGTACAGATTATTGATAGAATTAAATTATCAAACTATGGTCGGATATCTTAAATGCAGCTCGTGGGATCAAACTTTATGTGCCACGGCTGAAATTTAAGCTGGAAATCGAGGGTCTAGATTTAAAAATATGAACCATATTCATTTATACTTTTTTATTACAAACTTTAAATATTAAAAAAAAAAAATAATAAATAAAATAAATAAATAAAATAAAAATGCGCCCAAAAATTTTAGGAATTTCACATTAAAATGGGCTCAATTTTCAGCACCAACAGATTCTAGCTTCAGCCGTGAAAAATCATATTTGAGAACAATATGAAAACCATCAAGCATATATTTGGACTAGTGTTTAAAGATGCACTTAGTTAGGTTACATTAAGGGCCTTCCTATATTTTATGCAGAATTTAAGATTGCAGTTGGCGTTAGGAGATGCATTATTTAGAGTGGTTGCATTTAGATGATCATCTATTAAACGTTCTAGGAAGCACGCCTAATAGCTTCATATAACGTAACTCATAAGTATTATAACTTTATTTCTTATAAAAAAAGAAATACTTTTTGGTAAGTTCAATTCTTGGATTATTATAGCAAACAACAAAATTTCTTCGACCTTGATGTGGTGAAATTCGTAGAATTCCGAACGTATTAAAGCATGCGCAGAAGTGATTGTCTTTGATCTTGATTGTTTTGATTGTACTAGGTGTGACTAATACTATATTTATGACGGTAAATAGTGGACAAATCAAACATGCATTTACGTACATTACACTTAAATGGAAAAACGCGATTACGGTACCCAAATTTGGATTTAATTGACTAATTGTACAGGTCGACTGATATGAGTGCGTGAGAGTGAAAACTTGTAACCAATCATGGTAAATCATTAGATCGTATCACTCTCACGCACTCATATAATATATAAACTATCTGAATTTTGCATCTGAATTTTCTTCAAAATTTATTTAATACTATTTTTTGACTAATAAACGACTAAATTTCAACCACTCACCAATAAACGACTAAATCTCCTCTTAACAACACGAAAAATGGGTAATAGCGAATCTGTTCAGTATAATCAAAAGGGACCGGTAGATCTTCCTACATCGATTAAAGTAAAAAATAAATCATGCATTTTCGGTTATGCGACTGCCATAGATGAGATTATCTCTCGATGTGTTAATGAAAAATATCATGAAAAACATTGTCAAGACCCTCTTGAAATGAACTCTGTTCCATGTTACAAGCAAGATGACCTACAAAACTCCAGCCTTTCTATTACAAAATTAGCAAGACAACTCTGTAAAGTTGGAAACGGTTCAATACCATGTTTCAGATTTCAACAACCCTCAGCAGATTTTGATGCTATTTGTGATTTCTTTCAATATGCTATCATTTTAAGAAAGGCTAATACCCAGCTCATGAAACGTGAAACTTTGGATCATGCTTACGGAATTAAATATGTTTCAGTTAAAAAAGATGATGACGAGTCCATCGATAAAAATGCTGTTGACCGGGTAAATTCTGAATTCATTAGCGAACTTCGGCAAATTAAACACGAACTCGAATCATTGGAAGAAACTTTCAGCAACTCAGCATTAAAAGACATGATTTCCGCTTTAAGTAGTTGGTGCACCAAATTTAAAATGACTCGTAATGAATGGTCACCAGTAATTAATAAAATGAATACATTCATTTCTGCGAAACCAATAAATGACACCCGATATTTTGAAGCATACATCACAGCACTTTCTTTATATACGTTCGCAGCTCTTTTACAAAACTATGATAAGACCAAAATCTGTAATGCGATAAATCATTCCTGTGAACTACTTTTACCATTTATCTATACTTCAGTGCATCATAATGCTGAAGGATCTTTCATTAATAACGTTGAAAAAAAATTACCAGGTATGAGATTAATTGACATTTTTGGTGGATTACATCAAGGTTTAAAGATAGCGACGATTCAAAAGTTTGAATGTGAACAAGATAATATAATTTCCACTTCACGAGTTTCAAAATTTGTAATCGGTCTTGAAAAATTACAAATTTTACCACCAACAACCATTTCCAAACATGAAAAATGGAATAACGTGACTATAAAAGTTGATGTTAGATTTCCATTGGATTTCAAAACTAAATCAAATGGTAATTTTGTGCGGTTACGAGATACCAGATCTGAGACGTGGGAATTCAAGCCTAATAAACATAATATTTACATTTCTCGGCTAGTATTTAAAGCTATTTTGGAAATTTCATCGATTTTTTCGGTCGTTGAGTCATTGGGTGTTACAAAAGATAATAAAAACGACAATAGAAAAGATAGTAGTGGTGAAGACTCTGATAGTTCTGATAGTACTGATAGTTTGTTATCGCAGGAACCGGCGTTTACCATCAATAGCGAACATTTAAAACATAAAAAAAGTTACTGTCGAAAAGTTTATTGTAATTTTTCTACTCACGGATATGATGATATTATTGTTTGTTATTAATTAATATATAGTAAAATCGCTCAAGGAAAACTTTTTGTTATAACACTAAAGATGGTTTCCTATG